ATTGGCAGATATCATGGTAAAGAAGCGTACTAGAAAAAGTTACTGTCGCCTCATCCAATTTTTACAGCAGTCAGCTGTTGACATGCTAGGCGAGCAACCGCGACAGTGAGGACGGGGAAACAGCTGATTTCATGTTCCTAGTTGGCAAATTGACTGCTAGCTACTAACGTACGCATGCATAAGCCATCTAGCGGTAGCACTAGTAGCCTCATTGACTATAAACACTTGTGTTAAGGTTTAAATACAGTAGTCAATGTTATTACTGAATTTGATACTATACATATTGTTACCTTACTAATATATGAAATGGAGAAAAACGTTACCCTAAAAATACAAAATTTCCCAATTTATATCCAGACCTTTTTAAATAGCTTAAAAAAACAAATAATTTAGTATATCAAAGTGTTTTTGTACGGTTATTGGTAACAGGACAAATTCAAAAATTGTAAATTAAAAAATTGCCATGTTATTCTTATAAAGAATACTAGCTGTTGTACCCGTGCTTTGCAGCGGGAAGAGGACACAAAATAGAAACATTTTAATCTTTACATCTGTTGCATATAATAGTTACACATCCCCCAATGCTTTTAGAAACAAAATTCAACTTTTATGGCCCTAATAGAAACGTTTAAGTTATGACTTTAATCTGGTAAGCAGTGGATACCACCATTTCATCTCCCTTAGTAACATATCTTTTTATTTATTATTGACATTTTAAATTTCAATTTTGAAGTTACTACTAATTATTAAATTTATATGAACATTTTTTTTAATGTCACTCTTCTTTATATTAAATCACAAATCCTTTTATCTTCAGTTTCTTCACTCACAATAAATCATTAGCACAAACTAAGTCAGCTGTTATAAACTTTAGAAATATTGCTATGCCTTTTCAATACAGTCTTTTAAATATTAAAGAAACTATATCTATAGGTACTATAAACAATTTTAAACAAATAATTTAGCAGTAAAGACAGCAGACAAAACTAATATGATTATCAAAGCATCAAAGCATCAATGCCTAAACCATTTAACAGCAAATACAGTATATGTTTCATTGCATCTCTGATTCTACTCTACAAAAATATCAACAAACAACTTAATATACAAACCAGTTCTTTTAATCAGTTCCATCGTCCATTGGCTTTACATTTTCACACTTACCATAAAGTAAACATAGTAAAAGATATTTCATTGATTTTAGAAACAAAAGAACACTTTGTACTGCTTAGTTTTATGATATTTTCCTTGGTTTAATTTAATCAGTGGTGTGGCAAAACACAAATAATAAATGTATCAAATAAAGTAAATGTGAACTGAAAGCTATGTTAAGATAAAATAAGAGTATTTTGTATTACCATTTGATAATTAATTATAGTTACGCATATACAACAGATAAAAAAAAATCAACACAGTACAATTTAGTTATTAATGATATTCTTTAGTTTAATTTATACATAGGTTTAGCTAAACACAATAACTTAATTTACCTAAATATACATATAAAAAACAATGTGATGTGCAAGTTATGTTAAGTTAATCTAACACATGTTAAGGAGTTAGAATTTATTTAAAGTAGCCTCCAAATTCATATAAAATATCTATACATTGTAATTTTCATACTGCTTCCATCAAATCACATTAATAACATTATTTTCAAAACTTAGACGCTTAAAAAAATCCAAAGCAGAGCCGGAGTTTATACAGCAACGGTTATAAAATCTTTTTTTATATAATCATTGACATAGTTTTAGAATAAATAATCCATGATAAAAGGTTAGATTAAAATAAACCTACCTCAAAGTTATGGAAAATATTATATTTAATTTCTTTGTATCAGCTGTCTGAAATTGTGAAATATGCAGTTTAGCAGTTCTTGTTTACATTTAAATGACAAAGCAAATGTAAACAAACATTGTTAAGTGTTCTCATCAGCCATGGAGACCAATCAATATTTACTTTTAAAATCTTCACCTCACAACTTTTAAAGCCAAAGGAGCAAAGCCTACGGTCAGTATCGAAATGTGAATAGTCCTATAATGATCCTCGGTATGGTAACTATATTTTTGTAAAATTTTAGTCCAGTTTCTACAGTAGCTTTTGCACCTATTAGTAATACACATACAGACAGACACCATTAGATTTTTATATAATAATAAAGAATAAAGAATATTGTAAAATTTTGTAGTTTGCTTGTTTATGGATATATTTTGATCAAACTTGGCAAATTTATTTTAACAATTACAAAACTATTTGGATCATGAACGGTACTCTAGTTTTCTCAAGGTAGGACACGTGAATTGTAATTTTGGCGTTACAGACACAATGACGGAAACAAACAAACGTACTGATATTGACACAAGACTCGTTTCGGCTTTATTATTATACTAGCTGTACCCGCGGGCTTTGCCCCGTTTAACTTCTTAATTTTCAAGATGATCTCGTTCTAATGGCTCAATCACGTCCTGGTTGAAGTTTGTTCGCTACGCTCACTCACCTTTAGGTTGGAGCTCGTTCGCTGCGCTCACTTGCCTTCAGGTTAGCTCGTTCGCTACGCTAACTCGTCTCCAGGTTGAAGTTCGTTCTCTACGCTCACTCACCTTTTGGTTGCAAATTAGCTGTTGTCATTAATTAAAATAAATAATAGTGCTGCACCCTGTTGGTAATCATTGTAACTTTAATGCAATTGAACATCATAGAACAGAACCAACTTGTTTAATTGAAACAGCTGTTAAGATTCATTAATTCCTTTTAAATATGAAAAATCATAAGGCTAACATGGGAAACTCCAGAGCCACTGGGGCGGAGCCCGAGAGTCCGATCAGAATAAAAACAACTTAGTTTTCCTATTTAATGCCTAAAGAATCAATGTACCAAATTTCAGCCTCCTAGGTAAATGGGAAGTGGGAGAATTAGTGATGAGTGTGTCAGTGAGTCAGTGAGGGCTTTGCCTTTTATAAGTATAGATAACACGTAGAAATAACCAATCACTTCATGAATCTACGCAATGTACAGACAAAACAGTAAAGACTTTATAATCTTATAATTAACTATAGTGTTTCTGCCTGTGCTTCGCAACGGGGTGAGAATCTTTGGGTCTCTAAATCCACCGTAAAAAAATAGTATATTTCGTACCTAGGGCCGAAAGTGACGTTTTGCCAACTTGAGATCGGGTTTTAAGTTCGAGACGAATTCGAGAACGTGAAACGATCGAGAGCTGCAAACCCATTTTGGCTAGTGGTACGAACGCTATTTTTTACCCAAGTATGTTTTGCAATATAACGTCCCTCTTATTTATGTGAAATATTTTGAGGAATCACCAAAATCAAAAATAACAATAAATAGTTGTCTATGCAGCTGTGACAAAAAACAAGTCTATTGCAATGCCACGGATACAGCTTGTGCATTTAATATACATTAATGTTTTAAGTAAATTAGCGAACAAGCGATTTTGTGGCCCTAGGGATGTAAACCCCTGCTCGGCCCCTATATGACGATGACAGCTGGCATGGCCAACAAAACATAACTTTCAGCCACCAATTAACGTATGGAAAACAGCTAAAAACATCATAGTGTGGTGAAAAATTCGTTACGCATACTTTTACATTATCATGCATTAATTATATGTATACAGAAAAAACGGAGTCATACTTATTGCGTATTTTAATGTAAATTTCTTGTATATTCCCATGAAACTGATAATTTACCCAGCACATTAAGGCCTTTAATCCAAGTATCTAAGTTCGTAAACCATACATACAATGTGACGATAAAATATCAACGACATAGCATGTAGTTTTATGTAATCCTCACGACATTTAATTTGGTCTATTTGGTCTACTTTGAATCCAATAATTGTCAAAATTATTGGAGCTTGGAAAAAACTACAAGTAAAAAAATCGTTACACTAATAAAAGACGACGTGAGGAGCGCGGGCAATGAGCTACAGCGGCTAGGGCATAGCCACATGAATAACGGAATGAAGGAACTAGAACGGAGAACTGGCAACAGCGCACACGAGAAGTTGGGGGGGTCGAACACACCGCTCAAGCCCTACAACGCATTAGTGGCATCCTGTCCACACACTGTTGATATATACCGATTTGTGGCAAGGTGCCACAATTAAAAACTGGAATGTTAGATGTTAAAATGGAGTGTTCATTAAAAATATTGATGTACAAATGTTTCTACCACCTTTCTTCATCCACTGGTGGCCGCAGTTTGAAAGATGCCACAATTAGGTGTTTGCGAGTATTCGGTAAAACCCCGTATGTGTGTGTGTGTCTGTGTGTCTGGATGTGTACAGAGCTAGGGACCACACCTGTGGTCCGATTTTGATGAAATTTGGTATGTAGTTTCTAATCCATGGTATCTCCAGGCGTTTTTTTCATTTTTTTGAAATTTTGATTTTTAATGTGGAATTTCCCATAAAAACCCAGAAAAATTGGATTTTCTCAAAAATGGCCCGAACGATTTTGATAAAAATTTAGTATGTTGTACCCCTTTAAATTCTGAACAAAATGGTACAGATCCCATTTCTGTAAAAATTACGGTTCAAAAGTTATTGTAAATTATGTTATTTTCCCATAAAAACCCATAAAATAACGGAAAAATCTGATTTTCTCAGAAATGGCCCGAACGATTTTGATAAAAATTTGGTATGTTATAGTCCTTTAAATTCTGAACAAAATTGTACCAATCCCATTTCCGTATATTTACTCTCACCACTTACACATGATAAAGGTTGTTGAAAAACTTATGGGAGAAAGTATGTGTCAGAATGCTGATACCGTTTATTTATTTTTAAATTGGAGACAGCTGTTTCATATAGATGGGATGAGTATCCAATAGCAGTATCCAATAGTCAATGATATCATCCTTGAAACATAAAAACTGTTCCACTATTTATTTTATTTTTTTTATTGAAATAAAAACTGTCATATTAAAAATATGCAAGATGGTTAAACATTCGCTTGAAAGATTTTTAATGTTTTATGTAGAGTCACTGAACAAGTGTGTCGTTTGTGAATCTCTGATGGGAGCTCTACAAGGAGTCATTGAAGACGGTAACGTTCAGATGGACATCAATCATAATCTTGTGCTAGCCTGCAGTCACCTGCCTCAGAGTATGCGTCGAGAGGTATGAAATGAAAATCAACCATCATGCTAATACAAAAACTGCTATCATTATAATGGTCATAAAACTATAAACATTTCCTGTGAATGGCTTGGTTTTCGAAGATATAAGTGCACCACTCATAAAGTCCAAATTTAATCAAATGTGGAAAAGTTTAAAATTAACGACGTTTGAGACATGTGAGTGTAATGGTAAATTTTTGTATGAAAAATCAATTGTTAATGGCCAAATTTATTTTTTAAGATCTTTATAACAGCTGTTTTTACATTTTTAAAGTTTAAGCCCAAACAATAGCTTTTCTCCCTTAAGAATAGTATGGAAATTTGAAATCTTTATGACTAGAAATTTAGAATGAATTTTTAAAGTACTGTAAAGCCACTTTAATAATTTATTTTTGTGTACTAAACAAGTAATGTCTAACATTTTCATTTACAGTAGATAAATGACCATGAGCGATGTTATGATTGTTGCAGTGCCAGAACATTGGTCCACTAGTGTGTCACTCCCTACAGTTGTATGATGAATGTTGTGTTTGTTGCAGTGCCAAGACATGGTACAACAGTTGGCTCCTCAGATAGAAGCAATCCTGGGAGAATTGCCCATTGGTCCACTGGTGTGTCGCCGTTACAGTTGTATGATGAATGTTGTGTTTGTTGCAGTGCCGGGACATGGTACAACAGTTGGCTCCTCAGATAGAAGCAATCCTGGGAGAATTGTCCATTGGTCCACTGGTGTGTCACTCCCTACAGTTGTATGATGAATGTTGTGTTTGTTGCAGTGCCGGACATGGTACAACAGTTGGCTCCTCAGATAGAAGCAATCCTGGGAGAATTGCCCATTGGTCCACTGGTTTGTCGCCGTTACAGTTGTATGATGAATGTTGTGTTTGTTGCAGTGCCAGGACATGGTACAACAGTTGGCTCCTCAGATAGAAGCAATCCTGGGAGAATCGCCCATTGGTCCACTGGTGTGTCGTCGTCTACAGTTGTATGATTAATGTTGTGTTTGTTGCAGTGCCAGGACATGGTACAACAGTTGGCTCCTCAGATAGAAGCAATCCTGGGAGAATTGCCCATTGGTCCACTGGTGTGTCGTCGTCTACAGTTGTATGATTAATGTTGTGTTTGTTGCAGTGCCAGGACATGGTACAACAGTTGGCTCCTCAGATAGAAGCAATCCTGGGAGAATTGCCCATTGGTCCACTGGTTTGTCGCCGTTACAGTTGTATGATGAATGTTGTGTTTGTTGCAGTGCCAGGACATGGTACAACAGTTGGCTCCTCAGATAGAAGCAATCCTGGGAGAATCGCCCATTGGTCCACTGGTGTGTCGCCGTTACAGTTGTATGATGAATGTTGTGTTTGTTGCAGTGCCGGGACATGGTACAACAGTTGGCTCCTGAGCTAGAAGCAATCCTGGGAGAACTGCCCATTGGTCCACTGGTGTGTCGCCGTTACAGTTGTATGATGAATGTTGTGTTTGTTGCAGTGCCGGGACATGGTACAACAGTTGGCTCCTCAGAAGCAATCCTGGGAGAATTGCCCATTGGTCCACTGGTGTGTCACACCCTACAGTTGTATGATGAATGTTGTGTTTGTTGCAGTGCCGGGAGATGGTACAACAGTTGGCTCCTCAGATGGAAGCAATCCTGGGAGAATTGCCCATTGGTCCACTGGTGTGTCGCCATCTACAGTTATGTCAACTGAGCTCCCAGACATTGGACATTGTCAGCACTGACCGCTGCTCAGAGGGCCACACTTACTGGTGTGCCAGCACCATGCATGCTGCTGCCTGCCAGGTAAAAGATTCATCAACACATACTCGCAATGGGTTGGTTGCTTATTTCGGTTTGGGTTTATTTTTTCAAACCAAACTTCAGTTTTTGTTAATTTAAATAGAATATGTCTACTGTAAGCGTATGACTTGTTTGCCAGTGGTGTGTGCTGCTGCCTGCCAGGTAAAAGATTCATCAACACATACTCGCAATGGGTCGGTTGCTGATATTGGTTCGGTTTTGGTTTGGTTTTATTTTTTCAAACCAAACTTCGGTTTTTGTTAATTTAAATAGAATATGTCTACTGTAAGCGTATGACTTGTTTGCCAGCGGTGTGTGCAAGGGATGAGCGGTACCAATCTCCCAACGCAGCCAAAGTTTCTGTAGCATTGGTCGGACTACGCTTTCTAAAAATATTCTATTCGATTATTTTTTTTTTGTTTTCATTCAAATCAAATTCAAATAATCTTTATTTGTAAGTAGCATACAATACATACATAAATAGTGTCAAAATACACAAATGAAAAATTATAATCAAAGGTTTCTTAGAATTATCAATGAAAAATTAACATTACTTCCTACAACTCATCAAAAGAAGCTTTGTTGATACCGGTATATTCATATTAGTTTATTTATTTAAGATCGAGCTTTAAAAATTGATCCAAGCTTTCAGTTGTCTTTTTAATTCAATTTATTTTTTTATACTTTCTGGGTTTAATTTTAAAAAAACTGTTCACAAACATATGTTGGTTTATTTTTCATAGAGCTCTAGTCTGTGCTGATTTTGCCCTATAGAGTTCTTTTTTCTAGTGTTATAATGATGTGTAGTTTCACGAGGGACATCATTAGAAATGTTGTTCTTTGTACACAAAATGACGTCAAGAACATATTGGTCATAAACTGTTAGTATTTTTAACTGTTTGAAATTATATCTGGCGGAGAGTCTTAAAATACCATCCAAAATAGCTTTTTTTGTTGCTCCAAATAAACAAATACCAAAAGAAATATGAGAATGTATGTAAGAAAAATAAATATTTTTCAATGTTGTTAAATTACAATAAAAAGACATGTTTGAAAGTTCATGAATTCCAGAGTTCATTCTTGTCAAGATCTTGTTTACATGTTCATTCCAATTAAGGTTTTTATCGATAGTCAGGCCAAGAAAATTTCTCCTTGACTTTGGATCAATTATGTGGAAATCAAACACAATCATTGGTTCTATTTGACTACTACTTTGTGGATTTTTAAACGTAATAAAATTGGTTTTTTCATGATTTAATGTTAAATTTTGATACGTTAAGTAATCTCCAAGGTTTCCAAGTTCTATGAAAGCAGCCATTTCTGTTTGTTCTATTTTAGGTGTTGAATTGAGTAAATTAGAATCATCAGCATACAGGCATAGTTCATTGATAGGCTTACATGAAAGTGCTTTGTCCGTCCATGTCCTTAACATAGCACAGGAAAAGCAATGGATCAAGAATAGACCCTTGCAGAACGCCATATTTTATTGTCTTTAAATCTGATGCTGTCTTAATGATTTTATTGTTTTTTCGATGTGTGATTTCCACATATTGAGTTCTATTTGTTAGATATGAATGAAACTATTGCAATGAATTATTTGATACTCCAATAGTTTCTAATATTTTTCAAAAGTAAAGAATGTTTGACACTATCAAAAGCTTTAGATAGTTCCATGAATATGCCAGTTGTATTTTCACCTTTATCAACACGGTCAATTACTGATTCTATAAATGAAACAGCAGCAGTAACAACCGATCTCCCAGACCTGAACTCATGTTGATTACCATCCATCAAACTAAATTTTTCAAGGTATGATGTAAGCTGACTATTTACTATTTTTTCATAAATTTTGGAAATGGCTGGTAACAACGAAACAGGGGGATAGTTAATAATATTTTTTGTATCATCCTTTTTATCAACTGGAATGACTTTTGCCTTCTTTAATTGATCTGGAAATATACCTTTAACGAAAGAGGAGTTAATTAAGTGAGATATAATTTGGCTTATCTCATATTTTATACTCTTAAGAAGTGTAACAGGCACTTCATCATGGCCACTGGAATTTTAATTTTTTTATGATAATATAACTTTTTCCACCTCCCTCTTATCATCAGGTTGAAAATCTAACTTAGGCTTTATTGACATTCCTGAACAGATGTACCTTCTTCATCTATAAATGGCACGTTACTGTTATAGTTTGGCTCTACGTCTTTTACTATGACTATAAAATAGTTATTAAAAATACCTGAGACATTTGTAGGATCTTCTATAAGATATTTGCCCCAAACTAAACTTCTATCACTATACTTTTTAGCAAATTTCATTACCGTAGTACTCACGGGAAGACCTGGACCCGGGACCGATTTACTTTTTCGTTTTGAGGTCCCTAGAGACCAAAAACATCATCCGTTCAAATTCAAATATATATATATATATATATATATATATATATATATACATGTCCATTAGCATGACAACTCGAGCAAAAATGATCCGATTTTGATTAAATTTGGTATAAACGTGTAAACCTACATTTTTGAAAGAACTTACATTTATTGGAACGATTTCGCGAACCAGCATGATCGGACTATGGGAACAGGGGTTTATGGGGGGTTTTATGGGGTAAAAATAGGGGTTTCCCTTTCTTAGTGCAATTACAGTTTCAATTTCTTCCAAAACTATTTTGTAGAGCTTAAAAAAAAACAAATAATTTAGTATATTGAAGTATATTGCGCCTAATGGTTACAGAGAAAATTCCACAAAATTGTAAATTAAAAAGTCCCATGTTATTCTTATGGAGAATAAGTTTAAACTGTTGTACATATTTATGAACATATTTTGATCAAATTTGGAAAATACATTCATTTATTACTAAACTATTAACATTTTACAACAAAAAACACTTTTTTACCCTCGCTGTTGCAGCAAACCTAAGTACTCGTTAAACTAATTCTTTCCATTTTAATAGGGAATAAATGTGATATTTTTAAGGAGGCATTTTAGTATAAATCCAAGAAATGGAAATTCACAAATACACGTAAATTAATTAGTAAACTTTATTCCAGAACTGATTCAACACAAAAGATAAAATGTAAACAATAACAATAATATCAACAATAATCATCTGATTATTTAAGCATATGACAATCCTCCCCACTATTAAGCTGCTCTTAGTTCGTCGCAGTGTCTCTTAAATAACCGCCCGTCTTCTGATTTAACAAGATACATCACGTTCCCAAGCGGCTTTTCTACTGTTCCTGTTGGCGACTTTTCTTCTGACATGTTGGAGTAATTTCTCACCAACACTATTTGTCCTTTTGAGAAACTTCTTCTAGTTAAAATTTGACGTTTGATTTGCGGTGTGGGTGTCTTCTCAACCATTAAATCCATTTCGGTTCTTTTGTTTCTCCCAAACATAAGCAAGTATGGAGATTGTCCTGTTGCTGAATGGTGCGTCTTCCTTAGCTGTTTCAGTATCGTGTTTATCTTATCCTCATTGTGTTAAACGTAGCTTTGAACGGTGATCTAGTTTTAAAAGTTTCAACAAAATTGCGTTACTGTTTTGTTTTACCTCTCCGGTAACGTTACAGGAATGTTCGTTACTGGATGGTGAATTCCAGATTAAATACAACGTAGTAACGAAAGGCGGCATTATGCAACCTTGGGAGATTTAGGTTAGGTTTATAACAACAAACTTGTTGTAAACGTAGCTTTGAAAAAGTTTCAACAAAATTGCGTTACCGTTAGGGATGGGCGAGTAATGATTTTTCAATTCGAGTCGATCATTTGAGTAAAAACTCGAGTATCGAGTCGACTCGAGTAGTTGCGCGTTAAATAGGCCTAGACCCAGGGTTTAAGCTGCGGTAGCATTTTTAGCATCTTGCTAAATTCACAACTTAAAAATGCTACATAGTTTTGCAGGCTATAGGCCTATAGCAAATTTTCTACAAATAAAATTGAAGATGTAACTTAATGTTCAAACATATGCTTATGTAATATTAGCCTACTGGAATTTGTGTTTTAAATGCTTACCGTATTGAATAATATTTTTTCTACAGTTAACTTAGTTGTCTGAGAGTTTGCAGCATTTTGCTGAAACAAATTTCATCCTATCCTAAACCCTGCCTAGGCCTAAATAGGTAGTTTAAGTATACCAAATTGTCTAAATTATATGGTTACTAATTATTATTAGGTACCTGTTACCTTAGGCCTAATAAAAAAATCGGCCTAGACTACTTATTGGCTGCAGCATTAAATTTACACATCACTTCTTGTTATTGTGTGTTTTATTTTTTCTTGCCTTTAGGGAATAAGCTATTACCGTAGTACTCACGGTGAGACCTGGACCCGGGACCGATTTTTTTTTTCGTTTTGAGGTCCCTAGAGGCCAAAAACACCATCCGTTCAAATTCATATATATATATATATATATATATATTATATATATTTATATATGTATATATATATATTTATATATATATTTTTATATATATATATATATATTTATATATATATATATTTATATATATGTGTGTCCGTTAGCGCGATAACTCGAGCAAAAATGATCCAATTTTGATGAAATTTGGTAAAAACGTGTAAACCTACGTTTATTCGAACGAGTTCGCGAACCAGCATGGTCGGACCATGGGAACGGGGGTTTATGGGGGCTTTTATGGGGTAAAAATGGGTTTTTCCCATTTTTGACTCAAAAACATAACATTTTGCAATTTCTTTCGAAACTATTTTGTAGAGCTTAAAAAAACAAATAATTTAGTATATTGAAGCGTTATAATGTGCCTAATGGTTACGGAGAAAATTCCAAAAAATTTAAAATTTAAAATTCCCATGTTATTCTTATGGAGAATAAGTTTAAACTGTTGTAGTTTGCTTGTTTTTGAACATATTTTGATCAAATTTGGAAAATGTTTTTATTTCTTACTAACTATTCACATAAAAAAAAAAAAAAAAAAAAAAAAAAAAAAAAAAAAACAATTTAACCCTCCCTGATGCAGCAAACCTAAGTACTTGTTAAACTAATTCTATTTAAATCAAGTATAAATGTTATATTTTTAAGTAGACATTTCAGAGTAAATCCAATCAGTCAAATGGAAATTCGCTTAGTCTGCATGTTTGCTGCGGCGGGGGTATTAGCGAATTTCCCATATTCTTCCTCCTCACTAACATGATAATCAACCTGGGCAACTAACTTTATAAGGTAACTTTTATGAATAACTATTTCAATTCAATTAAGAAACAGAATTTGTAAAAATAAATTTATTTATAAAACAGAAAACTAATATCAAACTACATATTGTATCACAAGTTAAAAACATCAATATGGAATAAGGTATTTTAAAATAATCACTTGGATAAGCACTTCATCTGCCTTAAGTTTGAAGGTAATGGGTACTAGGGCTATCCTCTTCACTCATTACATTTATAAGAATAATCAAGTCACTCGTCTCTGACAGACTGAAGATTAAACAAAAGCGTAGTAGGCCTATTATCTTGAAATAAAATCCCACATTAAACACTTAATTTAAAATTAAAACACATTTCTTAGTAGCCCGGTATAGCCTATTTGGCCTTTCTTTAATAAAATCACATCTTTCTAGGTTTAGTTACAATTCAAACTGTAGTTGTCATGTTTCTGCCACCAGATTGAAAATTGCACAATCAAAATCATAAACAGAATATGTTTATTTTACTTTCTATTAAACTTCCACTAAACAAAATCAATTTTATTTTAAGTTACAAATTCACTTCAAAGTAAAAACATTCAAACAAAACTGATGTTGACATAACTTCAACTTCACTCCAATCCATTGTTTATTTTTTTGTTTTGTTCTTGTTGCTATGCGGTCGTCATGCCATCTCCCTCTCCCTCTCTCACTCTCTCTCTCTCTCTCTCTCTCTCTAGTCGGTCTGCTCTGCTCATTCTGATTGTGCTTTGTTTTCCCATCAAACAGCTGTTTTGCAGGGCTGATGTTGCCATATTTATCATTACACCATTATGGTGAATGTCGGCCAAATTATTATAAAATTACTATAGCTTTTAATTCGTAAAAAAGTTAATAGTTTGACTAATTTAAATCATGTTTATGTAAACTCATTAGAGAATTAATTATACTTATAGTTTGTTTATGCCAATACCACAGTTAGTTGTAAAAGTACAAAAATTATCGTCCATCTGGCAACACTGAGTTTGAAGTGTAATCTTTCCTTTCTCTCAAGACCCAATGAGATTGCGTCATTCAGATGCATCGATGTTCCTTGCAGTAACTTATCGGTTTGTAAAACTAAACACCAATACCGATTAAAGTGAAAAAATATTGTGCAATAATAGGTTATTTTTATTTGTTGTCCTACTAATATTATAAATGAGAAAGTTTGGATGTATGGATGTATGGATGTATGGATGTATGTTTGTGACAAGTGAACGCGAAAAATACTGGTCGGATTGGGCTGAAATTTGGCATGATGATAGCTCACATTCCCGATTAACATATAGGCATATTCTTATTTCAAAAATCCTTTCGGGCTCCGCCCCAGTGGCTCTGGAGTTTTCCATGTTAACCTTATGAGAAATGGAATTATTGAATCTTAACAGCTGTTTCAATTAAACAAGTTGGTTCTGTTCTATGATGTTCAATAGCATTAAAGTTACAAGGATTACCAACAGGGTGCATCACTTTTTTTTACATTTATGACAACAGCTAATTTGCAACCAAAAGGTGAGTGAGCGTAGCGAAAGAACTTCAACCTGGAGGCGAGTGAGCGCAGCGAACGAGCTCCAACCTAAAGGTGAGTGAGCGTAGCGAACGAGCTCCAACCTAAAGGTGAGTGAGCGTAGCGAACATACTTCAACCAGGACGTGATTGAGCCATGCGAACGAGATAATCTTAAAAATTAAGAAGTTAAACGGGGCAAAGCCCGCGGGTTACAGCTAGTATTTCTATATTTTGGTATAAAATATTTTTATGGCAGTTCAAACTAAATCTGATACTGTACTTTATAATATCTTCAATAATCGTCTGCCTATGTTATACTAGTCAAGAGACTCCCTTGTTGACTATCGACTATTGTTGTTCGATAGATTCATTCAATGCTTTATTTCAACTTACTGTATTGTTATCAAGACGTATTGTTGACTGTTGACTGTTGTAGGAAAGTGAAAGTCTTAAGTAGTCCTCTTGCTAGCTCTGCCGAATGATGATGGTTGTTTGTTGAACATTTGGTTTACACTGGTCTAACCTATATGAATTTAGATAGTTGTTTTTTTGTAGGAATGGGGATTAAATAAGGCATCAACGCAAAACATTTATTAAATATGGGTGTAGAAAATCATGAAGTGGGACTATTTTAATTACTATTTTTTAATTACTACTCGACTCGAGTTCGAGTATTTGAAAAAACTCGAATAATTACTTGAAGGTCGAGTACTCGCCCACCCCTAGTTACCGTTTTGTTATTGAATTAAGGTACGTAATTTTTCTTACCTGAAAATATTTATTTTGAGGTATTAATCAACGTTTAAAACAAAAGAAACAACATAATATATCTTCACCACATATAAGCACAACGAACAGTGATCGTTTCGTTCCCACTCAAAGTCGGCCTAGATTTAGGGGGCACTTTCTCGTTGCCGTTTTTGGCGTGGAGCAGACCAAGGACCACAAAAGTTGAAAATATAACTTCCTTAGTCAATGGGATATTGTGTTTTTAGCATTTGCTTTCCTCTTTTACTGTCTTCAGCTGTCATTTTGACAAATGTCATTGATATTTTCGTCCCATATTGCGTGTTTTGTTTGCAAGTCAAGTAGCAGACGATAGTCGAGGACACGTTACCGAATTGTGTAGGAATGGGGATTAAATAAGGCATCAACGCAAAACATTTATTAAATATGGGTGTAGAAAATCATGAAGTGGGACTATTTTAATTACTATTTTTTAATTACTACTCGACTCGAGTTCGAGTATTTGAAAAAACTCGAATAATTACTTGAAGGTCGAGTACTCGCCCACCCCTAGTTACCGTTTTGTTATTGAATTAAGGTACGTAATTTTTCTTACCTGAAAATATTTATTTTGAGGTATTAATCAACGTTTAAAACAAAAGAAACAACATAATATATCTTCACCACATATAAGCACAACGAACAGTGATCGTTTCGTTCCCACTCAAAGTCGGCCTAGATTTAGGGGGCACTTTCTCGTTGCCGTTTTTGGCGTGGAGCAGACCAAGGACCACAAAAGTTGAAAATATAACTTCCTTAGTCAATGGGATATTGTGTTTTTAGCATTTGCTTTCCTCTTTTACTGTCTTCAGCTGTCATTTTGACAAATGTCATTGATATTTTCGTCCCATATTGCGTGTTTTGTTTGCAAGTCAAGTAGCAGACGATAGTCGAGGACACGTTACCGAATTGTATTTTTGTGAAATAAACATTCTTAAGTAAATAAATTGAATATTTTTTATTCTTAAATAGTAATGCAATGGAAAATAGGGATTGAGGGAAGTAATTAAACACAGTTTTATTGGCAATTATTTATTTGTTAGTACAGTTGAACCTCGTTTGTACGAACCTCGATAAAATGAATTCCTCGAGAAGACAAATTTTTTTTAATCCCCTTGGCCTTGACACTTTCATATAGATCAATGCTAAAAACACCTCTATACAACGTAGTAATTAAGTTAAAAACCTCCATAAGACGAATTTGTTTGTGACATGGGCTAGGACTGATTAACCTCTATACAACGAATATTCTTAGCACAAAACCTCTACAAGACGAACGTGACCTCTATAAGACGAATTTATCATAATCTTAACCTCCATAGTAGGTAGTTTTCAAAATAAACAGAAGCTTGTCTCAACATGAAACCCCCACCCATACCTCCTCCTTCCTCAGTCATTGTTTGGAGAAACATTGGAGCGAGGAGAAACCTCTATAAGAAGAATAACAGCAGCATTAAACCTCCATAAAACGACCCTCTTTATTAAGAATACCTCTATAGTACGAATTTTTCCCGTAGCCCTTGAAATTCGTCTTATAGAGGTTCAACTGTACATAATATTGGCTGGGACTTAAATTAAACCATTTTGTGAGATTCACCCCTAAGCACTCGTTAAATCTAATGTTATATAATTGGGAATAACTAAGTCTTTTGTGGAAATATTTTAGTAAAAATGTAATCAGACAAGTTGAAATTCGCTTGGTCTGCAGGTTTGCTGCGGCGGGGGTATTATACAGATCTGTTAGGTAGGTTTGCATGTATTGTGGTTACTTGACTTGCTACGAATCTTAATTGTTAATATAGTGACTTTTGTTTCAGAAAATTGAATATTGTCAGAGCAAGGTCTGGTTTGACATCAAACCCAACAAGAAAGCAAAAAGAAGTGCCAAGAAGTTTGTTTTTTAGTTTAATTTAGAGCTATTTTGCCTATGCCTACATTGTTATATTTTTGTATGCCAAATAGATACTAATCAATACGTCAATACCCTTACCAATAGTAGAGTTAATTATTTTGTGTTTGATTTAAGGATAAGTCTGATTATTGAAGGGTCTCTTGAAATGATCTGTGATTTTAATTATATGAATTGCAGTGATTCAAATTCTGTAAGAATGGAATAACAATTATTATAAAAAATATATTGAGAGGTTTTATTTATAATCCTTACACATGGCTACAGATGATTACTTCTGCTACATTCTGTATTACAAGTATTACATAGTAACTAGCAAATTACAAAATACAGTATAAAAGAAAAACATCAGTTGTTACTATCAAGCAAAGATTACACTGAAGATTATTCGATTATTGTAGTAAAGGCTAGCAGTGCGGAGTGTGGGACGCGTCTGTGGCAGTTGGATTATTGTATCTAAAATACTAAAATGCTATGGAAAGGGAGATGAACAGGTCCAAAACATAGGAAGTGGCGACGGAAGTAGTAAAAGCTAGCAGTATGGAGTGTGGGAGCCGTTTGTGGCATTTGAATAAATGTATCTGCAATACTTAAATGCTATGAGAAGAGAAGGAACTAGGTCCACGACGGAGGGAGTGGTGAAGGAAGTAGTAAAGGCTAGCAGTGCAGAGTGTGGCCGTGGGAACTGTTTGTAGCTGTTAAATGCTATGAGAAGGGAAGGAAACCGGCTCCAGGACCTGGATCTAGCCGCCACGGCCGACGCTGCTGCTCCTCCCCCCGCCGCCCCACAGGACACATCCATTTCAGATGCAACCGAGGATATATCCCACAGGTTTAACTCCCCCCAGCCGTCATAACAAGGGTCTCACAGGAATTTTTTATAGGATTTTTACTAAATTTAATTCACAAAAAAATAATACCTCTTTATTACACTCGCTAGAACTGATTTTATTTTAGCTATTTTGAATATAATCATCCATTTCCCCATTTCTCAAAGGGTAACAATATACTTGCTTTGTACCAACTGATTAAAATTTAACTCATTTCCTTTATTAAAAAATTAAAATCGAGCTAAATAATCTCTACTAATTGAATAATTTTACTAATTGAATTATATACGGTTTGATGAAAAAAAATGTTTGTCAAATGACATGGAATAGGCTATACAGGGTGATTTGTACTCAGTGTGACAAAACATTTTTGGTGTAAGTACAAAGTAAATGAAGTGTGATGATGCATATCAAATGTTCCAAGTCTAAAAATTAGCTTCCCAAAAAATTATTTTATGTTTTTCAAAAATAACCATGTTTTTAAACCAAATACAGCGATTTCTCAATTACCTGTATATGGATTTGAGTAGATAATGTAATTTTCGTGTTCTACATTAAATTTTGAACAAGAATAATAGAAAATGACAAAGGATCAGTTGTAAAAACTCCATTGTAAATAGATTCAAAGATAAAAATTAAGATGTTTGATAACAATTTTAAAAACAATGGTCTATTGCATTTTTCACACCCTGTATACAAGAAAGTGTCGGAATATGTTAAAAACTGCGCCATTTTATAAGCTTTCCAACGATATGCTACACTATTGAGGTTTATGTCTGCTTATGTACGCTTTAATGGTTTGAAGACTACAAAGCATGGCGTCTTCAACATTTAAAACATAGAAAGTCGGCATGTATTAAGCAAAAGTTGTATTTTTGATTCAGCTTGAACAGTAAAAACAGTAAAAAAGTTCTTTGTTTTCTGGTATTTAAACCACTAAAACAAACAAAAAAATATCTAAACCTCAATAGTGTAGCATATGGTTGGAAAGCTTATAAAATGGCGCAGTTTTTAACATATTCCGACACTTTCTTGTATACAGGGTGTGAAAAATGCAATAGACCATAGTTTTTACAATTTTTATCAAATATCTTAATTTTTATCTTTGAATCTATTTACAATGGAGTTTTAACAACTGATCCTCCATCATTTTCCATTATTCTTGTTCAAAATTTAATGTAGAACACGAAAATGACATTATCTACTCAAATCCATATACAGGTAATTGAGAAATTGCTGTATTAAGTTTAAAAGCATGGTTATTTTTGAAAACATAAAATAATTTTTTGGGACGCTAATTTTGAGACTTGGAACATTTGATATGCATCATCACACTTCATTTACTTTGTACTTACATAAAAAAAATTTTGTCACACTGAGTACAAATCACCCTGTATATGAGTTCCTGTTAGGAAATGTAAATTAATTAATCTATTTCGATTATTTTATTTTATTTTAAAGTCTAAAAATCAACTGTTGTATGAAACATTTGTACATATTTCATAAACAGGCTGTTATTAGCCGTAATGTCTTATTTGAATCGTTTACCTATTAACTTTTACAATTAATCATGCGATTGCATTTACCAAAGTTTGTTTAGTGCTTAAGCTAAGTTAGGCCCTGTACACATGAGGGCGGCAGCCGCCGCGGTTTATATTGCGCGGGAACCGCGGCGGTTGAAAGTTCAAAGGAGTAAATGGGACCGTTCACATGCAACTGCCCACTTCCAGTCAACCGCAACAAACCGCGGCGGTCGTAGATTTCCCTTCGACCGCCGCTGCTCCCGCGAGGTTGGAGTTACATGAGTTGGCATGAGAGCGTACACATGAGGGCGGCAGCCGCCGCGGATGACTTGCGGTTGGTACTAGGATCACACAGTCACACGCATCTGCGCGCTCGCCCCGTGGACATCGCCTGTGTATTCACGAGGTGATAAGTGATCTTTTACTTGAGTCAACAGTTCATCGAAAGAGTTTACACTCATCCGAGAGTAGTTAAAGAACTTAGTTAGGTATTCTCTTAATTTTGGGTACAGAGTAACAAATGAACCCAAGGTTAATCTGTCGTCTATTTCAGGGTGCACCCACCATCTCCTTTGTCGTCTTCGCCTTGCTTTTAATCTTCGATGCAATAACCAAAGGCAGGTTAACTCTTCCAGCTCCATAACTGTACTGGCTGTTGTGTCCGAGGGTTTCGAGGAGCCAAAAATCACTCCACAACCGCGGCGGCTGCCGCTCTCGGGTGTACAGGGCCTTAGACAATGAACAACAATGAATTTTTTAAATTTTAGCAAATAATTCACCTCATAAAATACTATTTTGATTCTTTATTTTTTACTATGTTATAATTGATGATTAATGTCTCATGGCACATACTCTTATATGTCACTCTTAACACAGATTGTTAATCTTCCTCTTAACGTTAACACAATTTAAGCTAGCCAGCCGGCAATAACCCATTAAATTCAGTAAATAAATTAGCTTTGATGAACGAAGCAACCACCCCTTTCATACATTGCAATGTAATTACTGACGTTGAATGTTTCAACTCTTATCATTTAACACGTTCGCTACTGCAATAGTACAAAATTTTTCATTCACATGGACCAGCGACGCACATATGCGACGGCCGGTTTCCACCCATAGACTGCTGTCGCATATATGCGACGGCTAGTCACATTAAAATAGATTGCCGACGCATATCTGCGTCGGGGTTCTAATGTTATTAAAATGCTTAAATCTTTGTAGTGGTCTATTTGAAGGTACTGAATACCCTGCAGTGGTCTACAGAGATGTCTGACGCACAACTGTGTCGCTTGGTCTGTGGATATGATGATTGGTGACGTCATATAATAGTTGGAAAAACTGGTCTTTACTTTTCTGCATCACTGTATGTATGTATGCTGCATTATCCTATGTAGCTTTTATATTTGTTCAGTTATAAACTGTTCTTGAATAATCTGTTTATTTTTTACTTACTTTTACCTTAAAACACAAAAAAATGAACTGTCGCATATATGCGACGTTTAGTCTATTTTAAGAAAACTATGATAATTTTCACTATTGTCTTCGCTGTAGACCGGGCGTCGCAAATATGCGACATTACAAAAGGTTATAAAAAATACAAAGAAACAAGAATAATTTATTCACAAACAAGATTGTAGCGTATTACAATGTAAATGATCACTGTTTTACAGGTTTTCGCCCCTGGTCTGTGTGTACTGTTAACCAAGTGACAGCCGGTCTATGTGTAAGATTCAAGTGTATACCTCGGTCTGTGGTAATGACCGCAGCGTCACATATATGCGACGCTCAGTAGCGAACGTGTTAAACCAAAACAACTGAAATGCTATCTATGATTTTAAAATATTACATCAAAACATAAGAACTAAGAAGTTATGGTAACATTGACGAATTTCTAGTTTTATTACAAGGTATTAAATGTAAATTTAATTGTATTATTCTAACGGAAGCATGGTTGAATCATCCGGGTGATCCTATGCATATAGATGGTTAAAGTGACGGTATTATTCTCTACATCGATGACTCGTTATCAGTGTCCTCCAATCAGCTGCTGCTCGGTGGCGTGGCTACGAGCTTGTCCTTGACCTTTGACTGGGCCGGAGCAACATGTAACCAACCTGCTTTGTGTATACCGTAGTCCGAATACATCTTTACAGATTTTTAACGACAACTTTAAAGAATTTTTAGAACTTAACACAATAAGTTCTCAGATAAAAATGTATTGTGCTCCCAAAAACATCTTTTTCGGACACAGTGACCCATACTCTGCATCAATAGAATGTTTAGGTACATAGCATAGCGTCTGATATGTCAGCTGACAGTGTTTGGTTAAGTCACCGCGGATACTTCTAATTTGTCCCTGGTTTACATCTAAAAAGAAATTACCATGTTGTAATGTACATGTATTATTTTTCCAAGCAAAAGGTATAGCGATGGGCTCGTACAGTCTCCAATCTGAGTTCCGATTCCTGATAGGAATGTTTAGGTTAATTAAAATGTCGTCCCCTGAAATCACACAATCAACAATTTCCAATTTTAAGTACTTTGAAACTCCTCTGCCATCCCGGCAGGGCAAGGTTATATCCGTCCTATGCCAAGGACCTAGATAAATTCAACAAATCGTGTTTGAGTTTCTAAATAGTTATAACTGAGTTAGGAATTTTTTCTCTTGACACTGACTTTGAATTTCTAGGCGAGTCACTAGTTGGATCGTCTTAAGTTGTCTAATAACGTGATGAGCCCCTAACTGTAACAAACTAAAGCTGTTATGGGCATTTTTCTGTTCCGCTGTGAACTCCATTTTCTGAAATCGATCAATTACTTTAGTTATATTGTTGAAGAATAAAGATTGTTTACCTTGAATGAGTAGGCTT